AATTAATTTGATAATTTATTGGACATTGTCCAATGTCTAACGGTCCAAAAAATAATTAAAATTAATTGGACAAATTGAACATATGTCCAATGTCCAAATGTCCAAAAGTCTAATTAAATTTATTTGGACATTGTCCAATACCAACACTGGTGGCAACAACTCCCGTTAATAAAAGAAAAAAAATGGGAATTTAATACCAATACTCAAAACTATCAATTCCAGTATCATTGAAGAGACATCATATAATCCTCCTCAATGACACTGTCCTACAAAACACAATTTTCTATCTAACCATTAACCTATCAGAATCAAGGTCAGAATTAAGGTCCATACATAATAAACAATAAATATCTAAATCTAGTGGTTAATACGTAGTACTAACTGTCGATTTAGGAAACCTGTAATTTCCAACCAACATTTCCTACGGAGTCTAGAACCCGATTTGTACAGACTGTTACAAATTGATTGTCACAACAGTTTGAACTGCTAAGCACGTTAGACAGTTATCAATTATCAAACCCCAGTTGCATCGAACCATTTAGAGGTGGTTTGGGTGTAACAGTACGTACATACTACATCAGTATAAGACTGAACACAAAAACCATAAATGACAAATTGAACATATAATCTCATAAAGTCATCTGATCTTGCAATAATGCCACTTATTAATATAGTCGATTCGGTAGAACGAATGTCTTCATTGAAAGTTGTAAAATTTAAATTTTACAGTGGTAAGTATGAACTCTGAAAAACTTATTCCTATCCAGTTCACGATAATGAAAGTTAGCCTATTCAGAAAAAAAGATGAATCCGAAGATAAGTTTAATTCTTTAAATTATGGATCAAATATATTCGAACCCTTTAAGAAACGCAGCCCATTTTTATGCACAAGTTTATTCGAAAACAACAGGATATTGCCCCAGCCATGAAACCCTTAGACAATTCTACAAGATCAGATGCTCTACTGCATCTCCCACCACTACCTACCCCAAATGGAACATAATTGACAATATCTACACCTCCAGATATTTCAATACACATATTTTATTGAAAATGATAATAGTTTAAACTGCAAAATAGATTTAAAGTTTTATATAGCTTTGGCTTTTAGTCGAGAGAATGTTATGGTTATATAAGTTTTATAAATTATGACAAGGTTAAAACTACAAATGTTAAATCATAAATTTTATTTTACATATACCGAAATTAGAGATGGGTTTCATGCGTGCGCATGAAACCTCAATCATGCGCATTTTATTCCATCAAGATTTTATATAGAAAAATTAAAATATAAACTAGGCGCTTGAGTTGCTCAAAG